GAATGGGCTGTCATGTAAATAGCTTCAAGGGCCCATGAAGGGAGAGTTGCCCCGGAGCCCATTCCTAATCTTTTGGATCATATCTCCCTTTGAGGAGCCGATGAAAGTTTAGGATGATCTCCCTGGAAAAAGCCAGGCATGCACTGTCCTTGTAACTTTAGGGGGTTCATCAATCTCATCGGGCCCTCCTGTGGGCCCTTTGACGTGGCCTGCCTGATTCTGGCCAAGGAGACATCCTCCTCAGCTGTGCTCTCAGCCTGTCTCAAGGCGCCCACTGCGTCGCTAAGCCCAGCCTTGAACAACACGCGCCACATGCCCATGGTACTGCAGCTTGGACCTTAATTCTACGATCCTTGTTTGAACATTGTTGTGCTCTTTCCTCTTGGCTATCAGACCCGTGGGAAAAAGGGGCAGGGTATGATTGAGGGTCAAGCAGCTAACACAGTACAAGGAGCTGAAAGAAGCCTTAGTGCTGGGCCCTCCCTGTGGGTACAACAGGTTAAAGCGCAGCACTGTGAAGCTAACTGCAGCCGCCTTGGTGTGAGTTTGATCCCCGGCCAGGGAGCTGACCACATGGCGTGGCAGACCTCTCCTGTCCCTCAGCAATGTGCTTGGTCGATCTGCCTGTTCTGTTCCCCACTCTGTCTCTGGTGAATCCTCTCGCCACCCCTGCACCTCTGGCCCATCCCCAGTTTTGTATGCACAAATAAATCTTAAAAGAAAAAGCAGCCGTGGAGCTGTGGGAGGAGCGAGAGACCACTGGAGAGAAAGGGGATCTTTTGTAGCCCCAAACTATTTCCAACAAGAGCCAAGAGCCACTACACTTGATTATTAATTAGCTTCTTGATCAGACAACTTTACCCTGATTGAAGAGGGTGGCTTAAATTTTTGATCTGAATGTTGTCTTCTAATTATCTGTCTACTGTTCAGGAAGTAATTAAATCATCTGAATGGTAGGTGGTTGGAGAAGAGGAAGTGCATCTGCTCTTGTAGATGATGATTGTTTGGCAGAAGTCGGAAAGGCGCATACTGGCACATTCACAACCACGTCCTCGGTGTCCCCCTTCTTCCCACTGTACATGGGGAAAGGTGTGGTGTGCAGCTCCTCTAACAGACAAGTGAGGTGGGC